GGTAGAGCCCCAGCCTAGAATCCCCCAGTGAGGGGCTGGGGGCGTGGCTCAGTGGGAGAGCCCCTGCCTAGAATCCCCCAGTGAGGGGCTGGGGGCGTGGCTCAGTGGGAGAGCCCTGCCTAGAATCCCCCAGTGAGGGGCTGGGGGCGTGGCTCAGTGGTAGAGCCCCTGCCTAGAATCCCCCAGTGAGGAGCTGGGGGCGTGGCTCAGTGGTAGAGCCCTGCCTAGAATCCCCCAGTGAGGGGCTGGCGCAGGGCACATTAGTGAGAGCAATAGCCCTTAGCATGACAGGGCTGTCCTGCCACCAGCCAGAAGTGGCCAGTCCTCCAGCCAGCCTTGCAGCAGGAAGTTCTGTGGATTAATTACTTTCTCTGTGACCAATGTATGTGGCAGACACACAAAGAAGGTGAACTGGTTGATCTTCTTCCTCCTGTGGCAACACTTAGCAGCAACTGAGGGAAGGTTTATTTTGACCCATGGCTTATTGATGTAGTCCATCGGGGTCACTGGGAAGGCTCTGTCCAGAAGTAGAGATGACACGGAAACTGGAAGAAAGGCCAGGCTATAATCAACAAGACCCATTGTTAGTAGCCAGAGTCTACCTGCTAGACTCCTCCTGAAAGCCATACAACCTCCCCAGACCAGCGAGAAATAAGTGTTCAAGGACATGAGAGCCGAGTGGAGGATGTTTCACAGTCAGACCAGGAGAGGAGGAAATGTGTATTAGGCTCCTGATGTGCTGACCATCCTGGGGCGGGCGGGGAGTGTCCTGGGAGCATGAGAACACCAGACCAGGAAGTAGAGCTCAGGATTGGCTCTGATTCTCACAGACCTCCCCTAGTAGTCAGTGAGGCCTGCTTCCTGAAGGGGTAGCGGCCTTCCGCTATAGTGCCATCTAGTGGGGACCAGTCAATACACCAGCCTGTGGCAGATGGTTCAGATTTAAGTAGTAACATCTTGTCTCCTCTCTGTGTTTAGGCAGAAGGTATGCGGGCGGCACCCTTTGGTTCGAGGCTGGGTACTTAGTCAAGGTCTAGCATCCCTCAAATCTCTGACATAATTCTCCGAAGCTGGGATATTAATCAGGGTGATTATATTAATCACCTTTAGGCATGGAAATAGGCCCATAGCAATGAAGGCATTTACCCTGACACTGTTAATAATAGCAAAGTCCGGATTTGAACTGGACCACCTGAGTCCCACCTTTGAGAAGTTACCCGGTGGTGAGGCAGCATGACCGTGCAGAACAGCACAGAGAGCGTACTCATCCCATCTCCCCCGCCTCTTCCGGCAGATGAAGTTCTCCTTGGAGAAGCTGCATCAAGGAATTACTGTCCCAGATCCTCCCCTGGACACTCAGCCACAGCCCGATGACAGTTTTCCCTGAGGACTCCTGATTGAAAAGATATACCCCCTAAACGGACAGAAGGACACACGGAATCCCGGCAGCCACTGCTGGCACGGTGTGAACGCCGCCGGGAGATTCCTGCCTGCCCCTCACAGTGCCCCCCCCCCCGCCAAGAGCCACACAGACCTGGGAATCAAGATGCACTTTAGATCTGTGTGTGCGAGTCCGGCTGCCACTGCCTGCTCAGCCAGGGAGCTGGCCTGGTCTTTGGCAGGCTCCCCCTCCAACTAACTTATTTTGCCCAGCAGGGATTGTGGGGGGCACCTTTTGGGGTGCACGAGACCCTCTGGGTTTAATGTATTATATTTATTTCGGAATAACAACCCCAATAAAGGGTTGGAAATGGTTATGGCTGTGCCTGTGCAGTCCTGGGAGCAGATGGGGGCTTCCTACTCACCCTGCCGTCACGATCCAGGTCCTGGAGTCCTGTTCCTGTCACCGAGCCCAGCTCTGCCTTATCCAAGCCCAAAGCAGCTGTCCCAATGGCCTCCATACCTAGCAGCCCTTAGTGGGAGCCCATGAACATGGAGGAGTCACATTGAGAACCGCCATCCAAAAGACTTGAAGAGTTGATATATTTGGGTATTGGAGATTGAATCTAAGGCCCTCACATTTGCTAGGCAACCACTGTACCACTGAGTACCACTCGCACCCGGGCTTTTCACATTTTGTTTTATTTCTTAATTTAAAATTTTATGTTTGTATATTTTGAGTGAGGTTCTACTACGAGACGGTCCGGGCTGTCCTGGAACTCACTATGTTGACCAGGCAGGCCTTGCACTCACAGGGATCGGCTGCATCTTCCTCCCCAGGGTGTGGGCTGCCTTTAGTCAGATTTAATAATTAGATCTCTAATTTTCTTTCTGTTGTAAGATAGGGTCTCACTAAATTGCTTGCTGGCCTTCAACTCACCCAGTAAAGTCCTAGTAGGGCTTTGACCTTACCCTGCTTCCACCTTAGCCCTTCAGGAGCTGGGATGTCAGGCCCGCACCACCAGGAGCAGCATTTATGTGACTCCTAACAAGTCTTGGCACAGAGTTAAGTCAAAACTATTTACCACAGAAGAATTAGAAGGAAGGATGAAACTCGTGTAGGGAACACCAGCGGGCACCAGACTGTGCATTTCATTGTGGGACAAAATCTTTTTTTCTGAAGCGGAGAAAGGGGGCTCAAGGGGGATACAAGACAGGTTCTCTGTGTAGTCCTGGCTGTCCTAGAGCTCACTTCCCAAACTGGCCTTAAAATCAGAGAACCGCCTGCCTCTGCCTGTGCCTCCTTAGTCCTGGGATTAAAGGTGTGTGCCACCAAGCCAGGCTCTGCGACAAAATCTTTACCCCCCCCCCCAAGGTCACCGTTGAGGCATACACTGGGCATTCCCCCCCCACATCTCCAGATTTTTGTTTTCAATTTATTATTTATTCTTTGCATGAGTGAGTGTTTTGCCTGTGTGAGTGCATATGTACCATGTTCTCAGAACTGGATCCCCTAGAACTGAAGTTTCTGGGTGGTTGGGAACCACCACGTGGGTGCCGGGAACTGAACCCGGGTCCTCAGCAAGAGGAGCAAATGCTCTTAACCACTGAACCATCTTCCTAGCCCCAGATCTTGAGATTTATACAGTATGTCATCCCTCCCAGAACCAGGCACCTCCCCATCAACCATCTGTGATACTGGTAGAGAGCCCAGCCATGTCCTCCTCCAAACCCTGGGTTGAGGAAGAAGTCTGTCAAGCTAGAAGGACCTCTGGTAGGGCACATGCCAAGTTGTGGGGTGGAAGGTTTGGGTGGGAGCAGGAGCAAGCAAAGGGCAAAGCCCGCCCCGTCCACCGTAGCTCTGTGATTGGGCTGCCGCCATGCTCCAGCTGGCTCCTCCTACCTGCAAACGGGCAGAAGGACAGCACCTCAGAGCAAGAAAAATTCAGTACGTTAGAGTAAAAGCCTGCTCTGCCTCTACCACAGCAGGGCTCCTCAGACAATGGTCTTGTAGGGCTCTGAGAAGGTGCCCCTGTATCCACTGCTAAGGTCTGTCCTCCCCTGCACCACTACCTCCTCCGCCCAGCCCCCCACCAGGGTCACTGGAGCTGCGAAGGGGTTATTTTCTGCACAAGGAATTTCGCAGCTCAGGAGGTGCTGGCGCAAAAGCCCAGACCGCAAAGGTGTCTGGTGTCCCTGGCTCCTTGCTGCTAGGTCCTGGACCTGCCCCACACTGTGGCTTCTCTGGGACTTTATTTCATGCTGAACTGGAAGCTAAGACAGGGCCAGCCAATTCCTGCCAAGAGTCTCTCTCTCACCTTGGTCCTGGTGGTCCGGAGCCCTATAATGAGCCTAGCAGAAGTTAAGGTGCTGGGGACCTGTTTTGGACACAGGACAGTGTCCTCACCCAGGGGGAGGCACAGGCAACAAACAGACAAATTATATAAAAGAATAAAACCGTGGTGTGGTGGTAATTCTGAAGGAGGAGACCACCAGTTAGAAGTCAGCCTGTGAGATTCTGTCTCTAAAAAAAGAAACCAAGAGAAGCTGGTGAGATGGCTTTAGTGGTTAAGGTGCTGGCCTCCAGGCATGATCACCAAAGGTCAACATACAGGACCCACACAGTGAAAAAGAGGACCGACTCCCCCAAGTTGTCCTCTGACCTTCACATATGTGTCTCGGAATTGATGTGTTGTCTCACACATACAGAGTAAATAAAATATAATAAAATCCAAAACAACCCCCGCAGAATGTTAGGTACTGACCACTGTTCTGACAAAGTGAATAAGAACCGAGATGATCTAGTCAGTAAGGAGGGAAGCAGATTACTCAAAATGGGCACGGAAAATACTGTGAAGGTGACATTGGAGCCCTGGGCTTCGGCACAATCAGCCCTTCCATCACCTGGGGATAGTAGGAGGGGTTGGGGTGGGGGTGTCCAGGCAGAACGGAAGTAGGGCAGAAGCCCTGAAGCAGTGATGAGCTGGTGTGCTGGCGGTGGAGGAACGGTGTGGACGATGGAGTGGGAGGAGAGCTGGGAAGGTGACGTCAGAGTCGCAGCGGGGGATCGCGGGAATGGCCCTTTTGAAACCCCGCATCTCCGACCCCCAGAGCTGTGGGATGCCAAGGTACCCTTCTGGCTTGGATACGGTCTGGAGTTTTCTATATACACCTAGCTTGACCCCTTCGCTCCGCCATGCCCTCTTAGGTCCTGGCTCAGAGACCTCCAGTCCGAGGGATCTCAGGTGTCAGAAGTAGGTCTCTGGGATGTCTCAGCCTTATCTCCCCAAGAACTGGATAAGGTTGACCTCCATAATTAGGAAGACGGAAATTGGTGCCTCAAACTGTCCTCCAAGTCCTCTTGGGTGTCTGGAGATGACCTTTCTCAGAAGAGGAAGTGAAAAGGGTCCCTCCACCCCCAGAGAGTCTAGCGAAGTCAGAGTGACCCAGACCATGCAATGGGTGCGCAGAAGCCGCGAAGCCACCGAAGAGGCCGGTGCCGGGCGCCTCCCGGGCCGCTGCGGCAAAGGCTGGGCGGCCGCGCCCTCCCCCCGCGGTGATTCATCCCGCCCCCTCCCGCTCCCTCCTCCCTCCTCCGGCTCCCTCCTCCCTCCCGGGCCGCCGCTGCAGTGCGCAGGAGCCCGCGGTCCGCACCCCAACGCCGGGAGCCCGAGCGCGAGCAGCGTCCGGAGCCAGGCAGGGGTCGCCGCAGCCTTGATGCGCCCTGTGGCGCGAGCGCACGCAGCATCCCGAGACTCCCGCCGCGCGGCGGGGATGCCTGCTCTCCGGGCCCCGGGGCTGGGCCCCCGGCGGTAACCGGAGCGGGGGGGCGCGCCCCCCCAGCAGCAGCTGCCGCGCCCGAGCCCGGGCCAGTCACCGCCGGGGCCCATCGCCTGTCGCCGCGCTCTGCGCGCCCACCGCCTTGCGCGGCCATGGGGACGCTGCTGGCTCTCGTGGTGGGTGCGGCGCTGGGTGAGTGTTGCTGGGGGACACGCGCCATTGGCGCTCGGGACGCCCCCCGCCCGAGTGGCCCGGGCTCCACCAAGTCCCGGCCTGGGAAGTTGTGCGCGGTGCGAGGTCGTTGGGGTCGCTGGACCCCGGACCACATGGAAGCATCGTGGAGATGCAGAGGATTCTCTTGGGGGGGCGGACACTTGGCACAGAAGTGCCGCCGCGGGCTCCGGGCCGGGGGCGAGGAGACGCGGAGTCAGCTGCTCTCAGAGCCCCGCAGGCTGCAATGTGACACCCACAGCCGCGTGAGGGGTGGGGGAAGGCAGCGCCTGGGGACTGGGGCCCGAGACAAACCCGGAGGCATGGATACGGAGTGAGGACTCCGGGCTTGCCCTGGACGGAGAGATAAACTGAGAGACTGAGGCAGATAGGGACATTGGAGGGAGAGAGTTAAGAGCCGGAGCCAGGAACAGAGAAACTTGAGAGCAGCAGAAAGATCTGGAGAGACCAAGAAAGGATGGAGATAGAGAGGCCGTCCCAGGGACAGAATGCTTGCCGGATGGAGTTTAAAACAACAACAGTAATAGTAATGGCGAGACGGTGATGGGAAGACAGAGGAATACAGCCTTGCCGGGACCTTCAGAGACCCTTAGGGGGGAATAAATACGGGGGAGACATGGGCAACAGGGAAGGTGAACCAGAAGCCCTGAAGACTAGGAGATCAAGAGGTTGGGCGGGGGGGGGGGGGGGGGGGGCACAAGGAAAAGACCCAGAGCTAGACTTGGCGGCATGACTTAATCAGCTAGTGCGTGCTGGGATACAAGAGGTGGCAGGTAAGAGGGTGAAGGAGGAACCAGAGGCTTCTAACCCAGGGGTGAAGCAAATATCCCGAGGCGGCAAAGAGCATTTAACTTGGAGTGAAGGTCTTGAAGCAAGGGAGTCTTCGGAAGAGGGGACAGGGCAAGATGGGGAGAAGGAAGCCGGGCTGGAGTGAACCCCCTCACTCAGTCTTCTTAGTTCTCAACCCATGGCTGGCTCTGCAGACCTCTTTCATGGTGGGAGTGATAAGGAATGCTGACCACTTAGAAGGCAGTTGGTTTTTTGAGGACCTGGGCACTTGAGTGGAGTTACTCACCACAGTGACATTCTGTTTCCTGGGGCCTCCAGTGTGCGTATTCTACCTAGCAACTCTTGGAAATAAAGATGACAGATTCTTCCACCTAAGAGGCAGGGGAAAGGCAGGTGGGAAACTGAGGCTCTCAGGAGATGGGTGACTCGTCAAGGTCATACAGTGAGCGAGAAGCAGGGACAGGTTTGGCATCCACTGTTTGTTTGTAATATGGGTAGAAAGGAAACAGATGGTTTCCGTGGGGCAGCGAGCCCGGTGTTGCCTCGGGTGGCAGGTGCCTCGCTGACCCGAGCCTATTGTGTCCGCAGTCTCCTCAGCCTGGGGGGGCTGCGTGGAGGTGGATTCCGAGACCGAGGCAGTGTACGGGATGACCTTCAAAATCCTGTGTATCTCCTGTAAGCGTCGTAGTGAGACCAACGCGGAGACCTTCACGGAGTGGACCTTCCGCCAGAAGGGGACAGAGGAATTTGTCAAGGTGTGTGGGTGCCTGGGCTGGGCTAGCACCCGGGTGCGGGGTGGAGCCCGCAGCGCTGGGTCTCAAGGCTGTTTGTTTGCTTGGGTATTGCTTTTAGTGCTGTTGAGAAAGGGTGTTGTTGCTAAGTACCTCGGTCTGGGCGCTAACTCTTGGCAATCCTCTTGCCTCAGCTTCTTGAGAGCTGGGATTTCGGCACGCGATTGGCTTATTTGAGTGCTTGGCTAGTGATGAGGATGTAGATATGGTGGATGACCTGGATTTAGATCACCACAGACTGCTAATCACTTTAGGCAAGTCACTGAGTACATGTCCCCAGTGCCATAACAATGAGGGGCCATGGTCGCTACTCCGTATTTTAGGAAAAATTGCATTTATTTTTATTTGTGTGTGTGTGTTTGTGTTCATGCCATGGCATGTGTGTGGAGATCAGAGGACAACTTGTAGGAGTCCATTCTCTCATTCCACCACATGGGTCATAAGGATCGAACCCAGGCTGCCAGTGTGGGGGCAAGCACCTTTACCTGCTAAGGAATCTTGCTGGCTTCAACCCCCTAGGTCTGTGCGAGGGCTGAATGAGTTGATGCAGCTGACATATGGCTGGTAGGGGGAAAAATGTCAAAAAATGTCACTGGAATTATTTGGCACCAGCAAAAATGTCTTGGGCAGTCACAGAGCAGAACGGAGGAAGCTTTGGCACTGCGTGTATATTTTGAAAAGTGCACATGGCTGGAGAGAGAGAGACGCCTGGGAAAGAAGTGTAGAGAAAGGGGACTGCAGAAGCCAGGCGGGCTTCAGCTGTGAAACTGTGTGTATATGTGTGTCACAGGGTTAGAGCAGTCAGGGGCTGCCATGGTCCCAGGCAAGAGCTCAACTTCCTTGATCCCTCACTGTCCAAAGTCAAGAAGCCTGAGCTTGGGCTGGGAACATGGCTCAAGGAGAGAGCCCTTGCCTGAAATCCCTCAGTGAGAAACTGGGGGCAGGACTTAACAATAGAGCCCTTGCCAAAAATTCAACAATAAGGAGCTCCGAGTGTGGGTCAGAGTAGACCCTGCTCTACTCTGAGTGGGTTCTACAGCCCTGCTCACCTAAAATGGGGGGCTGGGGGCGTGGCTCAGTGGTAGAGCCCCTGCCTAGAATCCCCCAGTGAGGGGCTGGGGGTGTGGCTCAGTGGTAGAGCCCCTGCCTAGAATCCCCCAGTGAGGGACTGGGGGCGTGGCTCAGTGGTAGAGCCCCTGCCCAGAATCCCCCAGG